ACTCAGATCACAGCAAAGTGTCCACAGAGGAGCAGAGTTTATACAGCTCTCTTGCCTGACAGGATGTGTGTGAGAACTCCTGAGCATTCACAGCATTCAGGAAGTGTATGAACCCCTGTGAGGATACCCAACATACTCCAGCACAGTATGGAATTCATACTACAGCAGCAAGGTGGACTAGGGTAGGTAGGTATGACATCACCTGAACTGCAGAACTGTTTATTTTACTCACAGTACCAAAACTGCCACTGTTAACACAGTTTTACCTTCCAGGAGGGAAGGGTTTCCTTCATATTCACTGTCACTGTGTCCTACAGGAATAGCAGTATGAGGGTAAGTTTATTCTAAACCTTTCTGCTAGTGGCCTGAACACTCTGGTGTTGGGCCAAGTGTAAATTCACAGGGTGTAGTGACATCCCTGTCAGGCTGCACACCAGGCTTAGGGGACTGTCAGTCCAGGCTTTAGGCTGTGATAGATTGCACTAATACTCTCAGAAGAGCTCAGAATACTTAGTCTGCAAACACAGCAACATCTCAGGGGTGTCCCAAGAGCAGCATCACGTGGGGCAAAACTGGAGGCTGCCCAGGGAATTTGGAAACTTGGTTCAATTATGTAGTTCCATTACTCTGATTCACAGATTCTGTGTGAAACTGTTGCTATGACTTCCTTTTCTGCCTCTGGCTCTTCTGTTAGTGTCTTGGGAAAGTGACCAAAATCTGATCATATAAGAGCAAATATTTTCTTTACGTTGTGTGGTAGCCAAATTCTGTTCCCTTTAGAGGTGGTACATTAGAACCCAACACCACCTCCCACCCTGGCACAGGCAGAATGAGGACAGAGATGTTTACTGCAGACTTCAAAACAATTTTCCTTTGAGTTTTTAAGGGAAAAGAAGAAACATATTATCAACATTCTTCACACTGTGTTAGGTCTAGATTTTCTACATAACTGAACCCCCAGAACACAGAACTCTATGCACAGGAAAAAGCCACTTGCTCAAAAGTACCATGGGATAAGTAATCAGCATATTTAAGCCACTACCAGTGTTTGAAACTCATTTTAACTTCTCCATGTCTACACATCATTTTTAAAACAGATCATTTTCTTCTCCATTTCAACAGCCACGACATAGCAACAGCCACAGCAAAACACAGATAAGGATTTGGCATTGCTCCCTTGTTACACCCCAGGGCTCAGATCCCTGCAGTGACACAGGGCCTGGGGCTGCAGGAGAGGAAGCTGCAACTCCAGTCAGTCCAACAAAACAGACACAGTGCAATACCCACAAGTATAGCAAGCACACAGTTGAGTTAGTTCCTGCTTGTTCTGAACAGCTCAGTGCAATCCTCAACCCATTCTGCCTACCCAGCCCTTCCCCAGCAGCTCCCTCCCACCCCCAAATCCAGCAACACATACAGCAGTTTCCAGGTACTTTGTGATCTTGGAGTGGGTCCAAGCAGACCTAAGGAACCAAAAAAGCAGGAAGTGATAAAAATCACACAAAATGGGGTCATATTTTTTTTTTGCACGTTGCTTAAAGAACTGTAAACAGTTAAAGCCTCAAGTCAACACTGCTCAGCCTTTACACCCCTGTGTGCACACAATGTTCAGTGAGACAGGATGGAGCTGCAGGAACTCTGTGAACTGGGATCTGTGGGGAATCAAGTGCTTCAACTGTTCTACTGCTAACACACACACACAAAATGTCTTCGCAAAAAAAACCAACCACAACTTAGTAACAGTTCTAGAAACAGAATTACAGTACTGACGTTAAAAAACAGTTTCTAAGGCTCAGACTGAGTCCAAAAAGGCCTCTGAGTGGGTTCATTCAAGCTCTTATGTTTGCACTGCATGAATGCAGCATAAGAATGATTGCAGCAAGACGTCCACAGGTCATTTCTACATTTATTTTCTTTTTATACCAAAAAAGTTATGTGCAACAAATAGAATTCATACATATTTACATTATTTTACCTGTTAGCAAAATTGTATCCTAAACCTCCAGTAGAGAATCTCTCAGCCTATGTCGATGAAAGGAACATCTGCCCAATGACTCCGTTTCAATGGGTGTTTAATTGGGAGTTTAAAGCACTAGGAATAAATAGTTGATGGAACATACTATACAGAACAAACACCTAATATTTAGGCCATGCTTAATACAGTTTTATGGTAACAGAATACTTCATCTTTTCTGGACCAGTTTTGTCTAGATCATGTTTAAACACCGTTGGCAGAACCAAAGCCATTCAATCTCTGACTTTAGTATCAATTAGGAGCATCGAGTGCTGCCTGAAGCACCTCACCAACCTTCAGGAACAATGGAGAGACTCTGTACAGCAGAAGACAAACATGCACTACAGTATGCAGAAACCTCCTCACGAGAGATCTGGTGTCACTTGAGATACCAAAGGTGGTCAGGAATGTTTCGCTGGCCTCAGCGCTGCGAACGCTTTACAGTAAGAAACTTCCAACAACATTCATTTCCTAGACGAGACCTGAATGCTTCGTTGGCCTTAAGAGTAGCAAGTACCTTACAGTAAGAGGATTTCAGGAATGTTTAATTCCTAAGCAGGTTTTGGGATGAGGTTCTTTTGCCCTTCCAATCTGCCTCTCCCTGTGCAACTTCTGAGAGCCAAAGAGGGGGAGGAAGAGCCCAAATTTAGGAGCACTGTTTGTATATAGTGATATTTTCCCCTCTGTTCTCATGAGTGTTGAGGAGCTGGGTAACACCTCCCTGTCCCTTGCCAGCCCAGCTATTATTTACCTGCAGTTACCCATGCTCCTGTATCCTTGAGATTGCTCAGAATTTGCTTTGGGAAATCAGTATCAGCACATCAGCCTGGGCTGGGGACAGGGAGGGGGGCAGTTGCACCAAACACTCCTCTGATTCCGTCACATCACAACCAGAGCCATTTTACTGGAAGAAAGATGCTGTTCCTGTCATTGGGAGCAACGAGGAAAGAGTCAAAGAACTGAAAGCAAATAGGTCCAAATTTCTACTGCTAAGATTATTTTGCCCTTTATTCAGGCCAACTGCATTTCTGAAGCACAAGAGAGAAGAGTTAGGGTCGTTTCTAGCAAATCACTTCCAGTAAAAAGTAACTGCAAGAAAAGCACACAGGACAGGAGAGTTCACAATTAAGGATCAGATTCGCAAGTTCGTGCACAAAGTGTAGCTGCAAATTCTTGCAGAGACCAATCTCCAGTTCCATTTGATCCCTATGTGCACACAAACAAGGACTGCAGACACTGCTGAAAATCTGGCCCTAAACATTTTTACTAAACAAACTGAATTGACAGACTATGCCCACACAAACAAGCACAAGACACAGTGAAATTAGTCAACACCAAATACTTTCAGCTGATGGGGCTTTTTTCCTTTTTTTTTTTTCCTTTTTTTTTTTTTTTGGTGTGCACCACACCCAGAGATTGGCCCTAGTACTCAGTGGTTATACTTGTCTCCATGGCTGTTTGCTCTGAGATATCAGCACTGCCACTGACCCTTTCAGGCAGCACATGTTCACCTCTTCCTTGGATGAGAAAAGATGTCTTAGTGTAGATCACAGGAATGCATCAAAATAAATCCATACAACATATTCAACAGTGATACTGCCTCAAGGCTTGTATGAGAACAAAGTCAAGCCTTGAGGGACCAATTTAACATCATTCATTCCCCTCATAGCAAAGTTCAAGGCATTTGAGAGACACAACTAAACATCAAGACAAGCTTTAACTATACTCTGGTCAATACAAAACGCATTTAATGAGTTGTTGTCTAAAACTCAGACAGGAGGGACAAGTAATTTAGTGTTACATGCAACAGATGTTACTCATACCACAGAACTCTATACATATAAGCAGTTTCCACCTACATCCTTGATACAAACCAGAGAATTACTTCAGTAGTAATTTCAATACTACTTTGTGAATTCAATCTAAAAGTTCTATTTGCCCTAAGGAAACACTGCAGGTTTCACAGTCAAGTTTATCCTCAGCAACTTAGTGTTTATAACCCACTTAGCCATACAGCCAAGTGTCCCTCTGACATTCATGTTTAAGAAAAAAAAAAAAAAACAACCCTAAAAGCAGTTAAACTTTAAATAAATGGGTATGCAGTTGGAATTCTTCATTTTCAGAAGTTGACAAGGGCAAAAAGCAGCACAGCACCAATTACAGAAAGTAGCTGAACCTACACATTTTGGTGTCACAGAGTCTGAAACACAAATGTTTTACTTTTTCCAATCACATCAACCTTGTTCACTAAGCTGAAACAATATTGCTACCACTTCTCAATCTAAAAACTAAACCAGATCTCTTAATACTCTTCTATCCCCAACAAGTTTGCTGGGAATTTTGTTTGTTTGTTTGCTCATTTTTAAAGCAAGGACACTTCTGCCTGCCAAGTTCAACACAAACTATTTGGTTTAAGATTTTAAGACAGAAGGCACTTTGAACATTCAGCCTTAGAATACTGAGTGTAGAAACAACATGTACAATTTTGTTCCTTTGTTTCAATCTGCAGTTGGAATTTTTTTTTCCCCAATTAGTTATTAGAAAGAGCAATGATAGCACTATATCACATTTCATTCTCAGGAGCACATTTACTTACTTATCCCACTTAAACAGGTTGACCTTCCAAGGGATCTTGTATGTGTCAGGCCTAAAGTTCATCTCCCAATATAGCACAAACCAAAGATCCTGACGAAGATCAATTAAGGAACTGCTTTTTCAGTGCACTACTTGGTTATCCTGCTCAGTCAGTGGTTTCCACTGCAAATTGCAATTCTATACTGCAGCATTCATAGAACATCAAACACGAGTAACACTGGCTGACCACAGTTTAAAAAAGAAACAGCTCTGCATGGAAATGGAGTCCTTTCAAAGAACACTTTGATACACCAACCCCCAATCTGCATATAATATCCTGGTGGCAACTTTCCATTGACCACATGAAGCTGTTTGCATTCTGTACAGAAATTAATGAGGTTGTGGTTTTAATGAACATACTTCAGGTTTCAGCTTTAATTCCATTTTCATTACTGGAGACAAAAAAAGAAAGAAGAAATGGATCAAACCCCAACCATCATTGTTGTGAAAGCACTAGAGTGAGCGCAGCAACTCCGTGTTCTCTTTAGAGGTCACTTCTTCCATCGTGTCAGTTGAGTGTTAGCTGAGCCCTCTGACAGCTCCTTGGCTACCAGAACTGATTGTACAGTGAGTTCTCCAGGGATGGAACCAATAGTTCTAGTTTTATTTACAGTATAAGTCCTAGTCAAATCTAAGTCCATCAGCTAAAAAAAAAAAAGGTAATACACATACTGTAAACATGGCAACATTAAATATGGTGATGCTAATCTAGAATATTTAATGTCATGATCACATCTTGTTATACCTGAATTTATGTACAGGATATTTTATAGCGAGTGTTACCCACTTCACAGGTGGAGGGGGAAGAGAGAGTCTAGGTTTTGCTGTGGCTACAACTCCTTCAAAGTAAAGTTAAAGCTTGTCTTTGATTGTATTAGAGCTTTCTTTCATAACCACATTGAAATCGAAGATTAGCACGCAAAAAAAATAAAATTATCTGGGGCCCCTTAAAATTTATAATTAAAAATTCAGTTACGATTCTCAGGGAAAGTGTCTGATATGGAGAATAAAAAATTACTGCAAAATAAACTTAATGGAAGTTGGGTCTTCAGACTGTCAGTCAAAAGTTCAAACAGGTGTTATTCCTGTTTGGGTTGGAGTTGCCGTTTCCAGGCCTCGTTCAAATAAACTAATCGTTTGTAGTTGATGATAAAGAGAATGAAGTTCAGCAAATATGTGATGACGCAGACAATGCAAAATTCCTTCAGCACGAAGTACAGAATGTATGCCAAGTACAATGACCCTACTACAGACACTATGGAGGATGTCATGAGGATTAGAGCTGCTACTGCACTTGCTGTCATACCTGCAACAAGAGAGAGAAAGTTACTACTGCTGCTCTCATCCCCTTCCACACAAAGCAAAAAGCCTAAGCACTCTAATTCCAGCTGGAGGCTACTCAGCAAGTCAGTATGACATAAAAATCTGTGTAAAATACCATGAGTTCAAGGTGGCTGACAAATCACTATCTGGAGGGAGCATCTAGGTCTGACAGTCCTAGGATTAGCCATCGTCCGTATTCCTGAGTTATGGGAAAGTTACAGGTTGGTCAAGTTTTGTCTGTCAACATTAGCAGCCTTAGAGCAGACTATGCAGTTAAGAGGAAATAAGTATACATTACATTTCATGCACTTTTTTTGCCTGCTATCTCTCTTACTCCTGCACAACTCAGAAATTCCATTTTTATTTCCTCTCTTTTCTATCATGCAATCCAATGCTAAATATACTGAAGTGAAAATACCAGCACACAAACTGTCTTGACACTTCTATTATTAATAGTATCAGAGCAGGAGAAAATGCAATTACTCCTGTTATCAGTTGGGTTTTTAAGCCCTTTGGACAGATGCATCATTAGACTGGAGCTAAAAAGAAAGATATAAAAATCACAAGCAGTTATCTGGCTCCTGGCAGATCGTGCACTTCTCTTTCACCACCAGACCTGCTTTATACTTGAGGTTCTAAACTGAATTCATACTTACCAAGTAGCATTTGTAGTATATAAAACACGAGTCCAAAAACACTGTTTGACTGATTTAGTGCACTGTCCTTCCCAAAGATGGAACCCAACAGACCGAATCCTCGACCCCATCTGTAAAACAGGGAAACTAATTAACTCGTGCTTGGGCACCTATTGCTTTACATCAGAATTTTCAGTTCATCACTGCTGGGAAAAGAGAGAGACCTATGTTCTGACAGGACCACTCGAGCCCTACATGAAGTTATCCTGGAAAACCAAGGAGCTTGCAACAGGGGGAGCACTAGGTACAGCTTTATCCCACACGTTGCTGATCAAAGTTGTTTGACACACCAGAAAGCAGCGAGTTCACACAGCTGCAGCTGCACCAAACACCACCTCTGCTTCCCAGGGCTGCAGCTGGAAGCTGTTTTGTCAAATTAACACTTCCTTCCCCCACTGACAGCTTTAGCAGTTCTCTCTCCCACAGCAGCACATGGATACATGGTCACTACCCAGCTGAGGGTAAGGATTTGCTCCCAGCTCTGCCAGTGCTCACCTCGCTGGCATCAGCAAGTGAATCAGAACATATGTTTGCACTTCAGCTGCTCTGATCAGTCTAACACCTTAGGAGGAACCCAAATCTGTCCAGCAGACAAGCTGGGGATGGCACCACCACAAGGGCCACAGAGCTCGTTTGTGAGAGCTCTTGCACAGTGACACTTTGAACCAACACCTGAATTCCCCACCAAGTGACTTTCAACTTTCTAGTGCTAAGGCAGAAAGCAGCACAAGCCCTACAAAACTGCTGCTGCAATAAGGAGGGAAAAAGATTAAATTAGCAAACGTGTTTGTGCTAGAAACCATTACCCGATGCCCTAAGGCACATCACACCATTATTTGCAAAAGCAAAGTGAGGACCACATTTATTAGTGTCACTTGAACAGAAGTTAACACTACTTCAACAGGGAACTGAACTCATCTGCCAGCACTACTTTGGAGCATAAGCCAAGCACTACAGCAGTGTAAGGTGAGGTTCACATGATCAGGTTAGCTGTCACACAGCTGTGTGAAAAAGTGCCATTCCCCACTCCTGTTGCAGCAGAAAATGTGCTACATTTATGCCCAGAAAAGTGCAGTTTCCAGAGAGTTTTTTGCACTAGAGGCAATGGGTCTATGAAAGCAAGACACAGCACGGGTTTGCTCTCTGCACACAGCAGGAACATTGCTGGTGTAACTCACCACACAGACCAGTGAGAGGCCACCACATGACAAGCAGATTCCTCACAGAAAAAGGCACCACAATAAGTACAATTTAGCACCATCTCCAAACACTTGACAGTCTCCCACCATCTGTGCAGTATTTGCAAAGCGTGTTCAAATTAATAAGTTTAACTGCAGCCAGTTACTAAGTTTGAATCAAATATTACACCCAAGTCTTGTGCTCTTCTCCCCAAGCAACTGAGCAGAGAATTGGGATCTGATTCCTAGAAAGCAACTTTACTGCATAAACAGCAAAAAAATCAAATATACTTTCAACAAGTTTGGTCTCAAATCTTGTAAAAGACTGAAGTGAAATATATGCACTAATACAAAGCTTCAAGGCAGCACAGAACAGACCAACATGTGCCTCACCAGGGGACAGTGCCTCGGCCCCCCAGAGCTGTCAGGGTCAGGCACACACCCTGGGAGGAGCAGTGCAGAACTGCCTGACTCCCTGCACTCATCCCAGGACAAGCCTGAGGGTGGAAGATCTGGAAAAGCAGCTGGAGGGAGAGAGGAGTGCAGCACTCCCAGCGAAGGGAGCCACACCACGAGGGAGGGATTTCAAAAAGACCATCCACCATGCAGCAATACATAAGCAAACAGTATAAAGAGCACTGCAAATTCCAAGGCATCTCAGTTATGATGATATTTTCCTCCCACATGTTGAGTGTTACTGGATTTGAAGTGAGAACTGTTTATTTTTCAGCCTTTTTCTTATAAGATGTTCACAGTACATAACACTTGTGTTGTCCAGTTACCCAGAGCAGTATGAAAGAGCCAAACAAATATATTCAAGGTGTCAGTTTGCATTTAATACTCTATTTTTCTGTATTACCACATTAATAGATGGTTCAGCTTACTATCCACAGGTGCAATTTATAGTTCTCGTGTCCAAGTGAGACTTCTCTGTAGGGTGACACTAAACTATCTGAACATACTCAGCTTTCCTTGCCAAGAGACTGAACAGTACAGCTCAAAGTCTGTGGTTCAGCATCACTCCAAATAACCACAGGGTGCTGATCTTTCCTCTCCCTGCCCTACCTGTGTGCTCTCACTTCCCATGCTCATGAGATCCTGCCGAGCCCGAGAGCAAACTCAAGCTTAAAACAACAGAAACTTCACTCTGTCCCTACAGCTGCTCTGCAGGAGAGTAAAGTGTTGCTGGAGGAAGATAAGGAGTTCAGCCCTTCCTGTCTGAGTCCTCCAGTGATCTGTTCAGAGCTGCAAGGTCAGAGCACGGTGAAAGCTTTTTCCACATGTAATAGTTCATTAAGTATCTCGCTGGCCTTGTAGCAGCTTTAAGCACATCAATATTAAATTTCAGCCCAAGGAGTACAGCTCTAATCTCACATCTCACTCCCCAAGCTTGAAGACAGCTAAGCAGCCTGGGTTTGAAGATGAAGCCTTGTAAGGTCTGAAGTGTGAACAACTTTTCTGCAGCAAACTGAAATGCAAAGTATTTAGACTTTGTATATTTCTATTTCCATCTCATTTTTCTACTGAAGAGGTGAAATCAGCTCCTAATTTTATTGAGGAGGTCCTAAGCCCCACTAAAATGCACAGTGAACCAAGAAACTTTGCCAGAAATTGGAGTAAGGATAAAAACTCAGTAGAATAATTTCCTTCTCACCCCAAAATCAGGTAAATCACACTTGAGCTATAACTCTGAAAGTCTAAAAACAATCTGGCCAACAAATAGCAAGAAGAAAGTCCTAATAACAGGATAAGCTCCAAGAAATAAAACATCACTGAGAAGGGCTATGGACAGCTCAGAAGTCCTTAATGACCTTGCCTTTCTTACAGAGTTTAGAAGAACTGCTGTTAACTTGGATCAATTTTTTTGGATACAGAGTGCTAAGGAAAATGAACTTGCTCTAATTAAGAGTTACTTGCACAGCAAGATAAAAGTATAGCCAAATATCACCAGATTTATCCTGGTACTGACTTGTGGCTCTCATCCCTGAAGAGCCAAGTGTTCCCTTGGCTCTTGGCTTGGGAGAGCCACTTTGCTCTCACTCCGTGTGACTCAGAGCACTATGACAAGCACATGCCAAACCTACTTTCACCACACCCCAGTTTCACTCCTATTAAAAAAAAAAAACCAACAAACTGAACTACAAGGAAGTTTTCAAATAAACCTCTAAGATATCTTTGTGTATGTTTCAAGTAAGAATCTCCCTCTCTGTTCAAGAGGACAACCTGCTTCACTCCCCACCTGCAGGTACAGCTCTGAATGCTCTTTAAACAGTGATGGAAGAAATCCAGGACAAAGCAGTTAGAGCTGTTCATGTAGTTTCCCAACATCCAAAAAATCTCAGAATCATAGAATCTAGGGGTTGGAATGGACCTTACAGATCATCTAGTCCCAACCCCTGCCCTGGGCAGGGACACCTCACTAGATCAGGTTGCTCAAGGTTCATCCAGCCTGGCCTTGAACACCACCAGGGTTGGGGCAGCCACCACATCCCTGGGCAACCTGGGACAGTGTCTCACCACCCTCACAGGGAAAAACTTTTTTCCCCACGTCCAATCTAGATTTTCCCTCCTTCAGTTTGAACCCATTACCCCTTGTCCTGTCACTGCAGTTCCTAACACAGAGTCCCCCTCTGGCTCCTTGTAGGCCCTTCAGATAGTGAAAAGTTGCTCTGAGGTCTCTACTGTCTTCTCTCCTCCAGGCTGAACAGCCCCAATCCCTCAGCCTGTCCTCATAGGGGAGGTGCTCCATGAACACTACAGTGATTTTCAGTCCAATGTGCATTACATTTTGTCAAAAGGAGATCTTGAGAGTTATTATCCACCCTCTAAACAGTGTCCCTTTTAGTCTGAGATGTTTCGCTGCTGCATTTTTACAAGTTTAAAGCAGTATTTATGTGCAATCACCACTTCCTAACAGGAAGACAAGAACTGAGGTCACTGTGATCCACAAGTGACATTTCTCCAATAAAATCTTCCACTGTTTAATCATTCTCTCTTTTGCCCAATTATGAACATCCCCTGTGTCCCAGAACAGCATACTATGGGGTACACTTTGACTCTAAACATCTGACTGGAGCAGAGCAAATGCCACTGGCAGAAAGGGAACCAAGAGAATGATAAAAAGATTCTATTTTCAGAGGACTGTAAGTAAGAGCTCAAGTTTTGTTTCCTGAGCAGTAGTAGGTTACTTAAAGCCTCTCATTTCAGGATTATTTCTCACCCCAGAAGCATTATTTCTTTATCAACAGCAAACACCATTAGCACTTTGTAACCCTGAGGAAACAATAAACATGATTTTCTTAAAAAAAAAAAAGCAAAAACAAACCCCTGCAATTACCAAGTGATGTGCACATTTCCTCAGGCATTACTGGCCTTGTGAGATAAGCTATGGTCCAGAGTGGAAGCTGTGAGAGGGAGCAGAGCTGGCCTGGCTCACACACTGCCCTCAGTGAAAAGCTCCTATAAAGGTCAAAGGATCTGGAGCACGTTAATACTTGGAAATGTTAAGAAACTTTGGTTGCAACTTCTTTCCAGCTTCACTAGGGGATTTTTGGATTAAACCTAATTCATGGTTTCAAGGTCGCTTAGGCCACTCTAACAGTTTTAATAAATTAAGTCAAAGCTTTCAATTAGAAGCCACAAGAAAGGAGATTAAAAATTCCCATTTGTAAACTTGCCAGGAGTACTCAAAAATTTTGATGCACTTGATTTCATGCTTAAATCTATTAGCAGTGTTTAGCATAAACAAAGGAGATTTTCTTCTCTATATCCTCCAGCTCTACATCAGAACCAGCCAGTAAAAATCTCAGTGCCTAGATCAAGCAGGCAGTGGTTAATTATTTTATAGCAGCCTTTGCAGAAGCACTGGCTATTTGAGCTACAATACAACAGCA